AATGGTATTGATTTCCTTATTTTCTTTTCAGCAATCTCTTGGCAGTTGTAGAGGAATGCCACTGATTTTGCATGTTACTCTTGTATCCCACCACTATGCACAATCTCTCAGTTCCAGTAGTTCTTTTGGTGAGTCCTTGGGTTTTATATGTATTGGATCATATCATCTGCAAATAGAGATAGGTTTACTTCTTTCTTACCAATTCAGATGCCTTTGATCTCCCTTTCTTGCCTTATTGCCCTAGCTAAGATATCCAATACAATGCTGAATAGAAGTGCTTATAAAGGGCATCCTTGTCTGGTTCCTGTTCACAAAGGAAATGGTTTCAGTCTCTCTCCATTGAGAATAATGTTGGCTATTGGTTTTGCATACATGGCCTTTATTATGTTGAGAAATTTCCCTTCTATTCCTATTTTTCCTCAGAGATTTTATCAGGAATTGGTGTTTGATTTTATCAATTGTCTTTTCTGCATTTGTGTGTGTGTGTGTGTAATAGATGATGCTGACTGTTTTTCTAATGTTGAACCATCCTTACATACCTGGTATGAACCCCACTTGGTCAAAATGTATTATTTTTTGCATATGTTGTTGGAGTCTACTGGCTAGGATTTTGTTGAAGATTTTTGCATCTATATTCATGAGGGATATTGGTCTGTAGTTTTCTTTCTTAGTTATGTCTTTGTCTAGTTTTATGCTTGCTTCATAAAATGAATTTGGAGGATTCCACCCTTTTCTATGCTCTGGAATAGTCAGAGTAGCATTGGTGTCAGTCCATCTCTGAACATTTGGTAGAATTCTTCAGTGAAACCATCTGGGCCAGGGCTTTTTTATGTGGGTAACTTTTTAATTAATCTTCTGGATTTCTACCTGTAGATTTTGTATCATTTCTAGTTTTTCATTTATTTTGTCATTTTGTTCTTGTATTGTCTTCCAAAATTGTTCTAGGATTTTGTCAGTGTTCTCCTTGATCTGTCTTCTCAATCCACTGAAGGTACCTAAATATAATTCTTTTGAATTCCTTATCAGGAAGTTCCAGTGCTACTTCTTCCTCAGGGATGTGTTCCAGGTCTGTATCCCAGTCCCTTGTTTCCATTGCTTTATGTTGCTTCTTTGCATGGACTGTGATGGTCTATTATCTCCAAGACATTGTGACATTTTTGTGTTTATATTTGATCGGTGATTGTATATGTTGGAGTGATTCACCCAAGATTTTCATTTTCTTTGTCTGGATGTGATCTGAGTAAGTAGGAAACTGTGTTCCTCTATTCACTAGTTGGCAGCACTTATGCACTCACGACCTGTCTCCTTTGCAATCATCAGTGTCCTGTATGTCCGTTCTCTCTTTGGCAAGCAAAACCTAGTCTTAGGCCCCTAGAATCCAAATCAGGATGTTTAATATCCAAATATCCAAAATGGCTGCTGCTTGTACATATTCAAAATGGCTGCACACTCTAAACAGCCAAAGTCCATAGCTCAGTTGGTCTCCTTTGCTGTTTCCTTTTTAGTCACCAGCCACCAGCACAATCATCCATGTAGCCTTTGGTGAGCAGGACCAATTTTCAGGTTAATTCTCAAGTCCTAACTCCATTTGGAAATATTCAGGCCATCTGTACCATTATACTATGTGACAGTCCACAGCTCTATTTCTCCTTACTCACTGTTTTCATTCAGGTTCTTCTACTAGTTGGTGTTTAATCAACTTCTGTATCCTTTCTTTCAAAACTCAGGGCTCCAGGATTATCTTCTGTATCTGTGTCAACTGGTTTCTCTTTTCTTTGTTGAAGAGGATCTGTGTAGCATGTCTGCCTATTCCACCATCTTACTGGAAGTCAGAGCAAATTTTCCAGTCAACAGTTCATACACATTGTTTCATGACACTGACTCCAATCCCCATAATGTACCATCTCTCTTCCCACTTACTCCCTATGGGAGAATATAGTTTTTAATAATAGATTATCAGATATAACAACAAAAGCACAAGCAATAAAGAGAAAATCTATCACTGGGACCTCATAAAAATTAACTACTTTTAGTATTTAATCAAAAGACTTTAACAACAAACTGAAGAGACAACCTATAGATTAGGAGAAAATATTTGAGAACTTTTTTTTTGAGGGGTGGAGATATATCTAATAAGGTAGAATATCCAAAATATGTATGTTTATAAAAGCTTCTACAATTCAATAACAAGACGACATACAACAAAATCAAAAAAAGGGCAAAGGACTTGAACAGACATTTCACCAAGGAAGGTATCCAAATAACCAACAAGCATATGGAAAGATGTCCAATGTCATTAGCCATTAAACCTGTTGCCATTGGGTCAATTTTAACCCATAGTGACTCTATAGGACAGGGCAGAAGTTCCCCATAGGGATTCCAACACTGTAATCTTTATGGAAACATGCTTCCACACCTTTCTCCCACGCAGTGACTGGTGGGTTCAAACTGCCGACCCTTCAGTTAACAACCAAGCAGTATAACCACTTCACTACCTGCGTTCCTTGTCTATTAGCCACTAAAAAAAAAAAAAAGACTCACTGCCAATCCTCACAACTGGATCAATGAGCAGCATCACAATAAATGGAGAGAAGACTGAGGTTGTCAAAGAATTCATGTTGCTTTGTTCTACAATCGATGCCAACGGAAGCAGCAGTCAGGACGTTAGACAACATGCAGCATTGGGAAAGTCAACCACGAAGGAACTGTATTAAGTGCTGAGGAGCAAGGATATCTCCTTGAGGACTAAGGTGCGCCTGACACAAGCCATGATATTTCTAATCCCCTTGTATGCATGTCAGAGCTGGACAATGAATAAGGAAGACCAAAGAAGAGTTGATGCTTTTGAGTTGTGGTGCTGGCGGAGAATGCTGAAAGTACCATGGACTGCTAAAAGAACTAACAGATCTGTCCTGGAGGAAGTGCAGCCAGAATGCTCCTTGGAAGCAAGAATGGCCAGACTTCGTCTCACCTATTTTGGTCATGTTGTAAGAAGGCACCATTCCCTGGAGAAGGATGTCATGCTTGGTAGGGTGGAGGGTCGACGAAAGAGGGGGAGGCCTTCAACGAGATGGATTGACACGGTGGCTGCGATGATGGGCTCAAGTATAGCAGGGATTGTGGAGCTGGCGCGGGATCGGGCACTGTTTTGTTCTGCTGTGCATGCGGTCGCTATGAGTCGGAAACGACTCAATGGCACTTAACAACAACAGCCATGGAGTGGACCCAATTCATAGTGACCTTTCCTTGGGTTTCCAAGGCAGTATTACTACAGAAGTAGATTGCCCAACTTTCCTTCTGAGGAGTGGCTGGTGGGTTTGAACTGCCAGCCTTTTGGTTAGCAGTCAAATGCCTTAGGCACTATGCCATCAGAGCTCCCATCAAAACCACGATAAGATATCACATGGTACATAGTGAACTATGTCCCCTAAAAATATGTACAAGAATCTTAACCCTGTGGATATAATCTAATTTAGGAACAGGGTTTTCTTTGTTATATTCATTAGGCCTTATCAGTGTAGGGTACATAGTGAATCTAATTAATGACTTTGAGGCTATAAAAAGAACAGATCAGACAGAGACAAATAAGCACTAAAAGAGAACAAATGTCATGTGCAAATCACAAAGGAATCCAGGAATGCCAAGAATAACTCTAGAGATGTTGAGACAAGGATTTTCCCCCATAGCAGATAGAGAAAGAATCTCTCCCTAGAATGAGTGCCCTGAATTCAGACTTCTAGCCACCTAAATTGTGAGGCTAATGAGGTTGCTCTGGGTCAGAATGTACTTAAAAGCAACTAACAACAGCAACAACAAGAAACTGTGAGAAAATAAACTGCTATTCATAAAAGCCACCCACTTGTGGTATTTCTGTCACAGTATCACTAAGAAACCAAGAACCAATTTCACCATCATGATTTTAAAAGAAAAGGAAAACAAAAGGTGAGGAGAGGATATGCAGAAAGTAAAACGCTTATCCATTGCTAGTGGGAATGCAAGATGACACAATAACTGTGGAAAACAGTTTGGCAATGCCTCAGAACGTTGAATATGGAACTACTGCATGACCCAGCCATCCCAAACCTGAGTAGAAAGCTAAAAGAAGTGAAAATGGGAACACAAACAGGTAACTGTACACCAATGCTCACTGAAGCACTTTTACCATAAATTCAAATGGTGGAAACAACTGAAATGTCCATCAATAGATGAATGGACAACAAAATGTGCAATAAGTATACAATGGAATATTAAAACTAAAAAAACAAACCCACTGCCATCAAGTTGATTCCAACTCACAGAGACCCTTTAGGACAGACAGAGTAGAACTGCCCATAAAATTTCCAAGGCTGTAAATCTTTTCAGCAGCAGACTGCCTCATCTTTCTCCCACAGAGCAGCTGGTGGTTTGAACTGCCTACCTTTTGGTTAACAGCCATAAAGGTTTAAACATTGTGCTACCACAGCCCCTTATTATACAGCTATAAAAAGAAATGAAGCCCTGATACATACCACAACATGGATAAACCGTGAAAACATGCTGAGTGAAAGAACTGAGTACAATCCTACTATATGACCTTATTTATATGAAAGTTTATTAGTGGTTTCCAAGGGTAGAAGAGAGAGAAAAAGGGGAAATTTTTGCTTGAGGACAATGAATTTATGTTAAAGGTGATAGAATAACTAGAAAAAAGATAAGGATAGAAAAAAAGTAACATTTTAAAAAGAAAGAACAAACGAACATGTAGTAGTTCAATACCTTGCACTTGTTGGAGGAGTGAAATCCCATCATAAATATCTCGGCCCTGGAAGGATTTTGCTATTTGAATTTGCTCTTCTTCTGTTCCTGCTATCTCACCTTGCAAAGATGACTCTCTGATAAGATCATCTGACAAATGTTGAGTTTCCATTTGGTTCTTTTTCCTAGAGAGAGAAATTTTTATTATTCAATTAATTAATTGCTGTTGTTGTTTGGTGCTGCTGAATTGACTGTTGACTCACTGTGACCCAAAGTTACAGATAAGAACTGCCCCATAGGGTTTTCTAGGCTAATCTTTAAAAATCAAATTGTCAGATATTTCTCTTGGCGAGCTTCTGTGTTGGCTCAAACTGTCAACCTTTATGATAAAATATCATTTATGTTGGATAAATCTATAAAGTATCCAATAAGCATCTATGTATTTTAGCTCTCAAATAAGGAAAAATAAAACAGACAGTGGAAAGAAATGTTTCCAGGTCCAGACAAAAGGCACAACTCTAACACTACTGAGTGTCCTGGGTGTCTAATTAGAGCCTACAAAAATGAAAACTAAAACCATATTGCTATTCTGCCCTACAAGTAATAAAATGAGGTTTTCTCATTTCCTAAGTAAGTATCTCTAAAAACTATCGTATCTAGAGAAAAACTCGGCTTTCCAAACATAAGATAGAATGAAAGGAAACGTATATATTTACCCAACAGCAAATTCTCTAAATTACTAAAGGTGTTAGAAGTTTTACTTTTACCCACCTCTGTTCTCGTCCCTACCACTATCCTATCTACTTCTGTTGACTTACATGTAGATAAAAATGTTTTTCCTTATAGGCAATTTTCTACCCTCACTACTACAAATGCTCTAAATACATAGCCAATTCACCAGCAAGAGCCAGACTGGGTACAGAACTTCAGCAAAAAGGCTCTAAAAGCCACATATTCATCATTTGGCAAACCAATACCTAGAGTCATTTTTTAAATCAGGTGAAAGTAGATGAACAGAAAATGATGCTTACATGTTTTCAAAATCCAAACACTCAGCCTGAGGCAACTTTCCAACAATTATAATCTACTTTCTAGCTTCTCCATCTCTTTTCTGAGACTGTACTACAAGGAATACCATTATCTTAAGCCAACAGTACACTCATGGAATGTTGTTGTATGCTGTCAAGTGAATTCTAACTCACAGTGACCCTACAGGACAGAGAAGAACTGCCCCATAGCATTTCCTAGGCTGTAATCTTCATGAACGCAGATTACCAGATCTCTTCTCCCATGAAGGGGCTGCTGGATTCAAACCACTGACCTTTTAGTTAGCAGCCAAAGGCTTAACCATTGAACCAACAGGATACCCTTCACTCACGAGTAAGTATAGGAAAATCTTACCCGAAGATGAAAGAGAGGACAAGTAGAAGTGAAAAGGCTATAAATGCATACAAAGCCAGCAGTAGAGAGGATAGAAATAAAAAGGCATTGCGGGTGGGGGAGGCAAGACAATAAAGGGAAGTAAGAAAGAAACTAATAAGGACTTTTAGATTAATTTTCGTATTTTAAAGCTCTCCCTCCAAAAAAGGAAGATACCATGACCAACAGAACTTTGCAACAGAGAGCCAGATAAAGGTACTCTAAATTAATCACCTTCCTCTCGCTTTAAAAAAAAAAAAAAAAAACCTACTCCCTTGAAACCATAGCTATCCCTTGTTGTTATGAATCTATGAAAATTCTTCAAACTAAGTCATAAGCTTCATGTTAAGAGCCACTCCAAAAAGCCCTTAAAAGAAGAGTAAGGCACTCTATAAAAGTGAAGCAACTTGCATGAGAATCACCAGTGTTAACCTGGCCTTACCCCAGATTCTGAAGTCTGACAGGTAGGTGGAGTATGTAGGAAAATACAAAGCTATGATCCAGAATGGGAACCAAGGCAGAGGAAGAAACAAATTGGTGTACAACTAAAGTCAGAAGGAGAGCAGGAAGGAGGAAGGAAAGACCAAAAAGAAAAGTAAACTGAATCTATCACAAAATATCCTAGTCAATACTCCATACCTCCTCCTCACACCAAATAAACCAGAACACAATATGAATGTGGTACTGAGCATCTAGCAGGGGAGAGGAAGACTCTTCTTTGGACAAGGTACATGAAATGTCTATGGACAATGAAGCTATGGTGGTGATAACAGCCAAAAATAAAGCATTAATCTAGCATAAATTTAAGAATACAAACCTGCTCACATTTCAGTATCTATCCTGAAATACAATGCTGGCAGTGAAGGGTTAATATTCATAAGCCTACAAGAAAGAATCCACCACTAGTCTGTCAGTTTGTTCTAATGTGGTGGCTTGCATGTTGCTGTATGGGGAAGCTATACCAGTATTTCCAGTGGCGGTGCACAAGATTCAGAACAGTATACAGGCTAAAACAGACTAGAAATGAGAACCTGGTGATCTACTTCTGAAAAAAATCAGCTGAGACTAGACTCGAAGATGGCGGACTAGGCAGAAGGACTGCACAGACGCTCTTCAACAAAGAAAAGGGAAACCAATTAACACAGACACAGAAGATAATCTTGGACCCTGAGCCTTGAAGAGAAGGATACAGAAGTGGACTAAACCCCAACTAGCAGAAGAATTTGCGTGAAAATACCAAAAAAGGAGACACATGGAGCTGCAGTCTGGCAGTGGCCTAAGCGACCCTGACGGTACAGACAACAGGGCTTGGAGATTCCCGAGTGGTGGCAGGACCTAAAAATTAACCCAAAAATCACCCTGCTAGCCACGGACCGCACGGAGGACTGTGCATGGTGGCTGGGGAACAAAGGGAGAAGGTGAAGAGAAAGGTGGGCTGAGCTGTGGACTTTTGCCGATCCGGAGAGCGCCACCATTTTGTAGGTTTAAAAAGCAGCTTGACTATTTTGGATATTTAAAGAGACAGTGCTCTCGCAGATATCTGGGGCTTAAGAACACGTTCTGCTTTCCAGCAATCCCAAGGACACTCGGGGCCTGCAAGACTGAAAAGGTACGACATTCTTCTTGTTACTACACCCTACACCCGCTTGGTGAACGGAGGTTTGACCATCCCCACTCTCACCTACCTTCTGGGCCCACAGGAACTCCATCATAGTCTGTGTGCTCAGACAGAGCCTGGGTGCCCTACCCAGTCCTCCACCGATTTTTTCTTTTGCTTTCTTTTTCCAGGTGATTAGTTTGCTTGTATTTGTCTGCTTCAAACCAACTAATATTATTAATACTTTTGTCCTTTTTATTATTATTCTTACTCTTCCCCTACCAGGTCCTAGTTTTCAGCATTTTTTTTCTTTTCCCTGTGCC